AAGCTAACTACGCCCTCTGGGAGATCCATGAAGGGGTTTGTAGTAATTACTCTAGAGGACACTTCCTCGCCCACAAGTCACTCAGACATGGCTACTTTTGGCCTAGCATGGTGAAGGACGCCAAAGAGTTCACCAGAAAGTGTGGCAAGTGTCAGTGCTTCGCCATAGTGCCTAGACGGCTCCAAAGGAGCTGACAGTCATCACAAGTCCATGACCNTAGTTCACCAGAAAGTGTGGCAAGTGTCAGTGCTTCGCCATAGTGCCTAGACGGCTCCAAAGGAGCTGACAGTCATCACAAGTTCATGACCTTTTTTCCAAATGGGGCATCAACATCTTAGGCCCCTTACCCCTGAGCAGAGGACTATGCAAGTTCGTAGTGGTCGTTGTCGACTACTTCACAAAGTGGGCAGAGGCCGAACCCCTAGTAAAGATAACAGACTCAATGGTTAAAGATTTTACCTGAAAAAACTTGATCTGTCATTTCGGGATACCCCACGCCATTGTCAGCGATAATGCCAAACAATTCGACAACAAACTCCTAAATTCCTTATACTCCGACCTTCAGATAAAGCAGTCTCATTCCAACCCAGCATACCCGTAGGCAAACGGACAAGCAGAAGTCATGGTGAGAACGGTGCTACACAACCTAAAGACAAGGCTCAAAAGAGTGAAAGGTCTTTGGGTTGATGAGCTCCTAGGAGTATTTATGGACCTACCGAACCACGCCAAGAGCTTCAACTGGAGAAACCCTTTTTTCCCTCGCCTTCGGAACTGAGGTTATTATCCCTGTGAAGATAGGGGTGCATTCTCTAAGGGTGCAACACCAGGACCCAGTCACCAACAAGGAAGGACTTCGCATCAACCTCGACTTGGTAAAGGAGGCAAGGGAGATGGTTATGGTCCACAACGCAGAATACAAGCGACGCATGGTAAAGCACTACAACTCGAGGATGATACTTCGTTTCTTCCAACCAGGAGACTTGGTCCTCAAAAAAGTGATCCTCGCCACAAAGGATTCACGCGAAGGAAAGCTAGGACCAAATTAGGAAAGACTCTACCTCATAACAGAAGTGGTGAGNGCGAAGGAAAGCTAGGACCAAATTAGGAAGGACCCTACCTCATAACAGAAGTGGTGAGGCTAGACACCTACAAGATCCAGAATTTTGAGGGGAAGGTCTTACCCTATCCATGGAACACTAAGCACCTGAAGAGGTACTACCAATGACGCCTTAAGAGAGTCAAAAAGTTGGGGAACTGGATTTTATTTTTTGTACTTTTTGGGGCTATTACCTGATATTGCTTGACAAAAGTAGTGAATAAATAAAATTTTCTAGATTTACTCCAAAAAAATCTTTGCATTTTTGTATTTCAAAGGAGCATCAGTGGCACAAAATCACTTTTACAAAACTAAGGCTATAAACTGCCTTTCTTTAAATAAAAAATTCAAAAGCCCCTAGCTCTCTAACTACTCTCTTGGTCGTCCCCCTCCTGATCTTCCTCATCATCCTCGGCATCATTAGAGCCTCCATCACTATCATTAGGCACCTCAAATGACAAGAAGTCTAAAACATCAATATTAGAAAAAGCAACATAAATCTTTCCTCGGAGCTCCTCATAACCGTCAATAAAGGCATCAGCAAGGCCATTCTCCAAATCAATTTCAGCCATGACAGCCCTCTCCTCAGCCCGAGAAGTTCTCTCATGAGCTACCTTCACCTTTGCCTATGCGGCAGCCTCTCTAAGCATGGCCTTCTCACGGGTCTCCATAAGCTCAACCTCTCTGAGCGCAGCCATCTCACGGGCCTTCACAAGCTTAGCCTCTTTGAGTGCGTCCCTCTCATGGGTCGCCACAAGCTTAGCCTCGAGATCGGTCGCCCTTTCACGGGTCGCCAAAGCTTAATCTCAAGCTTAGCTGCCCTCTCGCGGGTCGCCACAAACTCAGCCTTGGAAGTCTTATCAGCAGCTTCAATCTCGACAATCCTCCCCTGAGCAGCAAGGAGCTCCTTTTGCACAACTTCATGATTCTGCTTTAGCTGGCCATGACAATAGGCCCTTGAAAGTAAACACATAGATGCAGTAGAAGTTTGAAGAAAGATAAAAGTCAAAAGAATGTCAAAAGCTTAAGAAAGGACTAGAGAAAGGNCTGGATTTTATTTTTTGTACTTTTTGGGGCTATTACCTGATATTGCTTGACAAAAGCAGTGAATAAATAAAATTTTCTAGATTTACTCCAAAAAAATCTTTGCATTTTTGTATTTCAAAGGAGCATCAGTGGCATAAAACCACTTTTAAAAAAGTAAGGCTATAAACTGCCTTTCTTTAAAAAAAAAATTCAAAAGCCCCTAGCTCTCTAACTACTCTCTTGGTCGTCCCCCTCCTCATCTTCCTCATCATCCTCGGCATCATCAGAGCCTCCATCACTATCATTAGGCACCTCAAATGACAAGAAGTCTAAAACATCAATATTAGAAAAAGCAGCATAAATCTTTCCTTGGAGCTCCTCATAACCGTCAATAAAGGCATCAGCAAGGCCATTCTCCAAATCAATTTCAATCATGACAGCCCTCTCCTCAGCCCGAGAAGTTCTCTCATGAGCTACCTTCACCTTTGCCTATACGGCAGCCTCTCTAAGCATGGCCCTCTCATGGGTCTCCATAAGCTCAACCTCTCTGAGCGCGGCCATCTCACGGGCCTTCACAAACTTAGCCTCTTTGAGTGCGTCCCTCTCATGGGTCGCCACAAGCTCAGCCTCGAGATTGGTCGCCCTTTCATGGGTCGCCAAAGCTCAATCTCAACCTTAGCTGCCCTCTCACGGGTCGCCACAAACTCAGCCTTGGAAGTCTTATCAGCAGCTTCAATCTCGACAATCCTTCCCTGAGCAACAAGGAGCTCCTTTTGCACAACTTCATGATTCTGCTTTAGCTGGCCATGACAATAGTCCCTTGAAAGTAAACACATAGATGCAGTAGAAGTCTANTCTCCAAATCAATTTCAATCATGACAGCCCTCTCCTCAGCCCGAGAAGTTCTCTCATGAGCTACCTTCACCTTTGCCTATACGGCAGCCTCTCTAAGCATGGCCCTCTCATGGGTCTCCATAAGCTCAACCTCTCTGAGCGCGGCCATCTCACGGGCCTTCACAAACTTAGCCTCTTTGAGTGCGTCCCTCTCATGGGTCGCCACAAGCTCAGCCTCGAGATTGGTCGCCCTTTCATGGGTCGCCAAAGCTCAATCTCAACCTTAGCTGCCCTCTCACGGGTCGCCACAAACTCAGCCTTGGAAGTCTTATCAGCAGCTTCAATCTCGACAATCCTTCCCTGAGCAACAAGGAGCTCCTTTTGCACAACTTCATGATTCTGCTTTAGCTGGCCATGACAATAGTCCCTTGAAAGTAAACACATAGATGCAGTAGAAGTCTAAAGAAAGATAAAAGTCAAAAGAATGTCAAAAGCTTAAGAAAGGACTAGAGAAAGGGAGACGATAGACCCTTACTTGAGCCAGACCTTCTAGAAAAGAGCTGATGATTCCCTCGGTGCCCAGAGCACTAATCTCGCTAACATCATTGGGAAACACAAACCTCCCAAGTCGATCATTTATGACTGGTGTGTTACCCAACATGGAGCTGATCTGAATCGGTGCCCTCTAGAAGTTTCCATAGGAGGAGTGGATAAACGGGCGGCAAAAGGTGTGGCTAACAAGGGGGACTCTGGAGTAGGAGATGCAACTGAATGAGTCTCCGACTAAGGAGGCACCACTGGAGGAGTCACTTGATGGGAGCGTGCCTGAGGTACCACTAGAGGGGTTGCTTAAGGATAGCACACCTTGGGCACATCATTGGAGAGGTCACTGGAGAGGCATCGCCTATCCTCGCCACCTTAGGAGGATGAGGGATCCTACTAGAGAGGCAGGACCCAATCACCTTTCTATCTACTGCTGCAAAGGAAATAAAAGGGTTATTTAGATGAAAAACACTAAGTAAAGGAGAAAAGTACAAGAGAATCAACATACTCTTTCTTTTCAAAGAGGATCCCGGAGAGGGTCCACCAGCCCCACCACCGTCTTTGAACATAAGAACCCCAACATCTTTTTCAGGATGAGCCCTCATGGCCTACAACTTCCACTCTTGGTCCTTGGAGAGCACAGGAGAATCTACAAGAGGCATGATGAGTAAAAAAAAAAATATATATATATATATATATAAGAGGCAAACAAGAGAAAGTAAGTGTAGGGCATACCAAGTTTCTTAGGAGCACCCCATCTTGTTGGTACCAAAGCCCTATCGGCCTCTACAACCCATTCTCCCCCAACAAATATAAAGCAAGACTTCCAACTATGAAAGTTGGAGCGCAATTCGGTAATTAACTTGTCTCTCGTAGTAAAGTAGTACCAGCCCCGATTAGGAACAGGAGTCTTGCTCAATGTATAAGTTACATGAAACTCGACAGGAGAGGCATCCTCATGATGCACCTTCCTCCACAATATCAGAAAGCACAACAAAAACCTCCAACAATTGGGTGATAACGACCCCGATGAAAGTAAAAAATAATGGAGAATACGGCAAATAGAAGAAGACATGGGGAGCCTGAGCCCAGCCTCAAGCATCTCCTCATAGATGGCAATGTCATCAGATGAGTTATCACAAATGGGCTCACCCATCTTAGCCCGACGACATAGCACAGTTGGAGGAACGTGGTAGGCGAAGACAATTTGCAAAATATCAGCATCTGTATTTAAAGTGCTAGAAATAGTACTCACTTTAGACCCATCATCATCAATGGCTACCTTTCCTCAATGTTTTTTGTTGTGAGGGCGTGAAGAGTTGTCTGAGCCACTACCGAAAAGGCCCTGAGGAGTCTGATTTTGAGAAATTCCACTTGAAGGAGCCGGGTCATCACTAATCTACCTAGAACCAGGCTCGCTAACTCTATGCCTAGCCTCTGCCACAAAGAGGAGCTTACTCAAACTGACTAATGGGCCCAGCGTCAAGGGAAGCTCACCCACCTACAGGGATGCCTTGCCCAAACCCCCTTCGGTGCGCCCACCAACTCCTGTCGCCAAGACAGCCTCACCCGGTACTTTCTCCCTCGCGCAAACAGCAATTGCTCTCTTGTCCAGCTCGCTAATCACGTGGGCTGCTTGCCCATGGTTAGCCTCACCAATCATATGGGCTACTTGCCTATGGTCAGCCTCACCAATCACATGGACTGTTCGCCCATCATTGCTCCTGCCAGATCCACGTCACCTAGGTTGCTCGCCTATCACCATGCATACCCCTAATGCGAGTAGGCTGCTCGCCCAATCTCCCCCCTACTCGTCTGCCGCTTGAACTGATCGCCCCTTCCCACCTATACGAGCAGGCTACTCGCCCACTACTCGCGCCCAAGGCCCCTTGCTCACCCAAGCTGCCCAATGCCTCCTCTATCACCCAAGACCTTGCACCTTAACTAAAACAGTGGGCACGTCCACTATCAGTGCCCCCACCACGGACAGCCCCATGGGCGCACAAGCAGCGAGGTTGGTGGATGCCCCTGGTACCTCCACGGTGCCTAGTTCCTCCTCCTCTTCTCTGGGAACCACAAAAATTTCTCCNCCCCTGGTACCTCCACGGTGCCTAGTTCCTCCTCCTCTTCTCTGGGAACCACAAAAATTTCTCCTGGCTCTCCACCAAGATCCACAAGCTCCTCTCCAGTCGACATTGATCGAAGTGCTCAAATTCAAAAAGTTTCACCTATGCGTTCTTGAAGAATTTCAAGAAGGACTCTCCTTCTCACTCAAGGTTGTGTGGAATGGGTAAAATATCCTCTCTCTCAAAATTATATGGAATGGGCAAATGAAGGAAAAGTTTTCTATTTATAGCCGAGGGTTTCTTGAAATCAAGGAAAGTAAAAAGCCCCAAATTTATAACTAGGGTTCTTCAGGAATCCAAAAAGGAGGGTGAAGAGTGGAGTTTATATAGCTAATGGAGTGCCTCAGGCAAAAGGAATCTTTGGGAATGGAGAGAGTCACCAATGAAAGGAGTTTTTAAGAAATTCGGATTTAAAAAGGTCTGATCGTTATTTTGACAGTAACTTTTGCTCTGTAACTCCAAACAGGGCCCATAATATATACACTCGAAGCTCTCGACGAGCTCGACAATACTCATTGCATATGGCTATGACAAACGCCGTTAAAAGCCCAAAAAAGGCCTAGAATCATATGTTTTGGCCTCCCAAAGTTTTTCCAGTGATGCCTTTAGTCGAAAATTCAAACTCAACCGAATGCCCTCCTCTCTAACTTCTATTGGACAAAGGGCATTAGGGGCAAATGATGGGCCAAACCCAAGGGCCCAACTCATGTTATGAGCCCAATTCGAATTAATAGCCCACCAACACTTGGATGACGACTATAAATTGTAAGCCCCACCAACACTTGGAGGACATCTCACTCAGTCGATCACAACTTTCCTCTCCCTCTCAAAGTTTGTAACTCTCTGCTCTCGCTACACACTTGAGTTAATAAAATACCCAACGGTCCTAGCCATTCAAAAGTGAACGTAGGTCACGTTGACCGAACCACTATAAATCCTTGTTTTCTTTCTCTTTACTTATTTACTGCATTTATTACTAATTACTTGACAGCTGTTGTGCAAAGCCAATTTGTACATCATCGATCAATCATATGGTTGTTTATGTATCATCACGATCGTCAGGTTTGAGCCATTAGTTTAACAATTAAAGCTTCGTAACTTTTACCTACTTGAATGTCGTACTTAAATGTTGCATTTGTATAGGTGAAATAGGTTTTTTAGAATTTCATTCTACATTCAATAATTATGATTTTTCTATCTTCTGTGATCCAATAATTTTAGTATTTGTATCATCTTTCAACTTTGGGACACTAGTTTCACCAATTTGAGCGTTCTCATATTAACCTACTTTAACCGCATGCTCGGATATTTCATATTGATTGATGTGTGTTTGTATATCTACAAGCTGATTGTAAATTCGTTTGAATTTTAGTTCTAGTCCAAGTTTCAATTTTGACTTTATTTAGCTTCTATTGGGAGCCAGAAAAATTTGGTGGTCATATAGGCGAGCAATGCAACATGATATGAACCCATGGGTTCACCCTTGATAACCGACATGGAATGAAAGGTTACCCAAAGTTCATATGCACATATATAAGTTTATTTTTAATTGATATAGGATTATAACATTCCACTATATTTTTGTAACTGATTTCCACAGTAGCCCAGTCTATCAACACTGACCTAATGGTAGTCATTTCTTATTAGCAACTCCATTCACACATCAGTATTCAATGACTTGGCACCATATCCATACATAACACCAAAACACTTTGATACAACCTATAAGTCGCTCTTTTTATGATTCGGTCACAGATAGATGCCTCTTATACTGGGTTCAATCTGATACTCGACATAGTAATAAGTTTTTATACCAATTGGTATGCATTCATGGGTAGAATTCACTCTTGATATCGTGTAAAACAGCCAAAATTGGAACTATATCCAAACGAAGTTGGATAGGCAAACTCAAGCTTGTTGGAAAGCCCTTGAAAAAAGGCTTATTTTGATCCAAACCACACCCCTAGGAATGCCTCAGACGAGTTTTGCACATATTTTTTGTCTTTTTATAGCCAAAAATCATCCCCTCCAATCATTTCATTGCATGGCTTGAAGATTTTGAAGCCTCCACCTCCTACTTGCTTTTAGCCAATCCAATTGGACCCTTCTTTTCCTTCATCATATTCAAATTTGCCATCTTTTTTTTCTTTTTTTTTTCTTCTAAATTCTGATTTTTAGTTTTTAATTACTAATTATCCCTAATTATACTATAATATTAATAAAAGTTTCATTTCCTATAAAAAAAAAAGTATTTATCGCCTAAAAATTTGACTAAATCATGATAGATGTTCCCATTTTTTATAGATTCTAACGTACTTAGAAGAAGGGAATAATAGCAAGTAACTCTTTGTTAGTGTCATCTGCCCACAAATTGATATTTGTGCTGAATAAGTGGTAGAGTATGATGGTCGGTTTCTCGTTGTATTTTTTATTCTTCCATGTTGTCAATAAGGAAATCTGAACTGAATTCCTTTTCCTCAAGACATGTTGTTCAGTAGACAGGATTCTTTTTCCTCAAGGTCACTATCCCAAGATAGCTCATTCCTCAAGTCCAAGGCAGCTTCTGGATTTTGACACTTCCAATGTGAATAACAAGTTTAATGGCTGTGGTGGAACCAATGAGATCCAGATCAGCCAAGCATGGCTGGTCTATGTCATTCACTCTTTTGCTTTTCTGTTGACACTAAAATATTTCATTTGGAGGGTGGGCCTTGGCGCTACGGTAAAGTTGCACCACTGTGACTTGGATGTCACGGGTTTGAGTCGCGGAAACAACTTCTCTGCTTTCACGGGTGAATTTGCATACATGTAACCCTCCCCAGACCCTCCAATAGCAATAGCCTCGTGCATTGGATACTAAAACATTTCATTTATTTTGGAACATATCTGATCTCTCTATCAGCTGCAAAGAGTTATTGGAATCTTGGAATATGCATGTCATGCAAGTCTAAATGTTAAATCTGTCTCTGTACTCATTGCTCAGCTCCCAGCATCCTTTATTAAGGAGAACCAAACTAGGTAATGACTTTTTTTTATGTATGGTAAAACTTTTTAGTGTTATACCCATATTGCTGATAAAAAATTTCTACAAAAAGAACCATGTTTCTTCCTTGATGTCTTTTTATATTTGCTGCTTCCTTTTGTTTATACCCTTTACTTCCCTGAATTCCTCTTTTTGTATGCGACATCATTCTTGTTCTTGATATGTTTTTTAGCTTCTTCAAAAACAGTTACCCCCACTTTCTGTTTATGAACTCGCCAGAGACATCAAGAATCTATGTTGAATCAAGACTGAAATCATTTTTTTCCAATTGCAGAAAGATATTTGTTGGTAAAATAACCTGTACTTTTGAGGATTAAGTTGGTTGAGAGGTGACATTTCTTTAGGAAGTAATTCCACAAAAAATTATTGATAGCATGTATAAAATTTTCTCCTCTTCATTGTTGCATTGAGGGGTAATGATCTTAATTTGGAAGATTGATTTCACAAGTTTGATGCGACATAAGTACATATATTTTCAGTCTCAAGACTGCATTCTTGGATGAACTATTGAAGTGGCATTGGGTAATTTAACTTCTTATGGCCCTGCTTTTTCCATGTCTTCTTCTTGAAGAATTTTTTGTGATTCTAGCTTGTGTTGCTGATGGGCCATGTCATATGTTGCATGGAGACCAAAAAGAACATAGTAGACCAGCATTACAAACGTGCAGACGCCGAACCTTATAAAAGCCTGAGATCCCAATGATCCCATGAGAAACAAATTTGTTGCAATTGACAAGGATGGCAACCACGGAACAAGTGGAACTCCCCAGACTTTTGGTGTTCGTTGCTGTGGCAGAGAAATTGCAATCCCCAAGGACCCCAAGAACCACAGAGGAACGGTGATGGTGTAACCAATCCAACCTTTGGGTTCAATCCCCAGAATGCTGAAGTCCCCATGAAGGAAGCAATAATGATCAGCAAGAAGGCAACTAGCTTCAAGAGGTTTGCTCGAGGAGTAATTCCTCGTTCATAGTATCTCCTCACAAGAAGTGCCACTGCCATCATCACGAAGATAAAGAGTGTGCTGACTGATAACAAACTTGCCAACTGATCCAAGCTTGAAAAGAATGCAATAATGGCACTTGAAATGGTAATCAAGAGAGTGGCATTAATAGGGGTTCCTGTCTTTGGGTGGACGAGAGCAAACCATGGTGGAATCATTTGGGCTCGCACAATATGAGTAGTATATCGTGCCTGCCCTAGTGCTCCTACCAATAGAACAGTGGTCATCCCTTTGAGGGATCCAAGAGCAACCAGGTACTTAGCCCACTTCATCCCTACACTCTGAAATGCAACAGAGTTTGCTGCATTTGTGTCTATATCGGTGTATTTCTGCATCATACTCACAGCAAGTGCCATCAAACAGTATATCACAGTAATCATTGACATTGATCCAAGCAACCCAAGTGGAATATCTCTTGATGGATTTTTTGTTTTCTCTGCCATTGTCGCAATATTGTCAAATCCTCCATAAGCAAAATACACAATTGCTACTACTGCTTGGAAGACCCCTTCAGCACCATGAGGCATAAAAGGTTGCAAATTGGAGGTATCAGCATGAGCAAACCCTGCAATTATCACAAAGAAAATTACTATGGTGTTTATAGCAGATGCAATCCAGTTGAAGTATGAAGTTTTTCTTGTGCTGATCATGGCTATGGTGGATGCAATTGCCAAAACTACAACAGCAATAGGGTCAAGGAGGTTGAACCCTTTTGTGAGATTTGTATGTATACGTAATGAGTTCGGGTGTCGGTTCAAAAGAGTTGTGAAGTAAGAAGTCCATGACCTACCAACAGCTGCACTTCCCACAATGGATTCAAGAAGTGTATTCCCTGCTACTATAAATGCTGCAAAGTCTCCTAATTCTACTCTCAGGTAAGCAAAAGAACCTTCGGCGACCGGAATTTCTACTGCAAATTCCGTGTAGCAGAAAACTGAAAGCATTGCTGAGATACCTGATGCGACATAGGATAAGACAATGGCTGGTCCAGCATGGTCATGGGCCTCTTGGCCGGTGAGCAATGACAGCCAAACCCAAACCAGATAAGGTCCCACCAGGTGAGGCAATGTTTCATTTCGTTCTCACTTTATTTCCAAAGCTCTATGAGCTCATCAGCATCCTCTGATCGGCTTACAAGACAGGCCTTGAAGCGTGCAGTTGTTTCTGACAGTGCAGATCGGTGTGTGGTCCAGGTTTTAAAAGATTCTTCTAGGAAAAAATCTTGTGTGCTCCATCTCCAATAACTTCTTGGTTGGATCTCATCACTCAATTCTCCCACTGAACCCATTACTCTATCTCTTGCACTTCCCTCCAACTTTTGATACGGGAGTCTAGTGATGAATGCAAATATACTGGATTGTTGTTATATAAGTTTGATAGACATTGTTTAGGTACCCATGACCGTGGATGTTGATTTTTCCTCTATTTTTTTTTTTTTGGCTTCATATGATTGTCTTGGTTGGTTGGTTGGTTGGTTGGTTTGGCATAGAGATCTTTCCCTGAATTATTGATCAGTGATAGGATTGACGTTAAGGACATTCATAAAAAAACAAGGAACTAATATATTAATAGCGGTGGACTCAAGAAATTTATTTTCCTTGTTACAAATTGTTATAGTTCCATTGAATTGGTGTCTTCTTTTGATATTGTAAAGATTCCATCTGTTTTTTGTTTATTAATCAATAGAATGACATCTGATCGGGACCCTTACGAATACATGGCGGACGATCTACGGAGGAAGAACGTGGGTGGAAAAAGTATGGGGGATTTGGGGCTGGTACCTAGGCCAATAAGATTTTAAAAAAATTTACTTGCCAACTTTTTTTTTTGGGTTAAGTATCCGTTGAAAAGTCAAAGAAAATGATATAACCAACACCTCTTACAATTGTAATATAGGTACCTAAAAAAACTTTTTTCACAAACATAAATCGTAATATAGGTATGCTCTAAAAAAAACAAGTACACAATTAAAAAAAAAAAATATATATATATATATATATATATACTTTTGCGACAGAAAATAAAAGGTATGTAATAAAAAAATAAAAAATAACAGGTACACAATAAAAAATAAAAAATAAAAAAATAATAATAAAAAAAGGTACACAATAATCGTCAGAGAGGTACACTAAAATCACAAATTATCAAACAAGTACACTAAAACATAGAACGTCAAGCTGATACAGTAAAATAGAAATCGTTACTGTACCTTCTTCTCTACAAACACAAATCATTAATGTATCTTTTTTTCCATAAAAACATATCGTTAAACATATAAACTAAAACATAGATCATTAATATATTTTCTTCTCCATAAAAATAAATCATCAGACAAGTAAACTAAAATATAGATCGTCAGATAGGTACATTAAAACACATATTGTTAATGTACATTCTTCTCCATAAAACACAGATCGTCAGATATCATTATAATATCCAAATTGCTTAGTTCACAAATTTGAATTTCAAAACTGATAAACAACACTGCAAAAATCTCAATAACAAACACAAAATAATAATAATAATAATTGTATTTTAGGCTAAAATCATGTGATGAGGACAAAATAGATAATTAAAATCAATAACTAATCAATCCCTTAATATTCCCGCCAACGCAAGGACCGCATGTAAGTTTTTTCAAAAATCGAAATACCTTTTTTTAAACTAAAAATTTGATAGAAGTAAAATTAGTTTACACACCAAAGAGAATGATCCTAGCCTAATTAACTGAAAAAGTGTGCATGGTGATTTTCGCACAATAAATAAATAAACAGATCTCTCCCTTAGTAAACTCGAGATTACATGAAAAGTCGATGGTCCCGTAACAACCAAATGTGAGAGATGGTAAAAGGAGTGATGATGAATTACTTTGCCAGGTGTCTAGATGATCTCGACTTATCGAGACAGAACCTGCCACTTAAGAAGAAAGGTTAGAAGGGTGCCAAACTGTTTTCTGGTGTGACCCTCCGACGATCAGCTCAGTATGTGAGAGAGAGGTAGGAAACATTGTTCTATTGCTTGGGTGAGAATATGTGTACTTAAACTTGGGTTTGAGATAGCTACTTATACCTCCATGGAGTTAATCATTGCAGACACTTAGGTCACCTAGAGGGAAGGCTACTCATTGGCTCATTTGGAAGGCAGCAGGTGGTGCTCAGTCCTCGAGCAGCGAGCTTTCCTCTTTACATGACGGAAACTCCTACATTTAATGCTCGGGCCTTCCTAAGCACGCCGAGCAATAAATACTCCTTATTCTTTTGAGGAGAACATTTACTGTAACCTAATTATGGCTGCGCATGCATAAGGGCACTTTCGTACATCACCCCTCAAAAGGGCCAACATTTCAAAACTTTATACTTCGTACATCTTTACATTGGTTATTGGACTATCTTTCTTGTCACTTTGACTATCTTGAAAAGGGGAAACCGATCATTGACAACCCATTTTACTTCCAAGTCACAATAGCCATCAAAAACTCTTATCCATGTTTTGTCGGCATGGAAAACTTAACGCCGACGTGACGTGTCATGTAGAGAGTGCTCCGCTGACAAGATGCCGAGGACGCATGTCATCCAAAGAATACTCTGCGGATAAGATGCCAAGGACGCGTGTCATTCGGAGAACACTCCGTGGACAAGATACCAAGGATACGTGTCATCTAAAGAATACTCCGCAGACAAGATTCCCAAGGACGTGTGTCATCCAAAGAACACTCTGCGCGGACAAGATTCCTGAGGATGTGTGTCATCCAAAGAACACTCTGCGGACAAGATGCCAAGGACTCTGCGGATAAGATGTCGAGGACTTGCGGACATTCGAAGAACACTCCGCGGACAAGATGTCGAGGACTTCACGGACAACATGTCGAGGACTCCATGGACAACATGTCGAGGATTTTGCGGACATTTGGAGAACACTTCGTGGACAAGATGTTGAGGACTCTGCAGACATTTGGAGAACACTCTGTGGACAATATGTTGAGGACTCTGCAGACAAGATTTCGAGGACTCCGTGGAGATTTAGAGAACACTCTGCAGACAAAATGTCGAGCACTTCACGGACAACATCTTGAGGACTCTACTGACATTCAAAGAACACTCAACGGACAAGATGTTGAGGACTCTACGGACAAGATGTCGAGGACTCCGTGGACATTCGGAGAACACTCCACAGACAAGATGCCGAGGACTCTGTGGACATTCGGAGAACACTCCGCAGACAAGATACCGAGAACTCTGCGGACAAGATGTCGAGGACACGTGTCGTCCAAACAACACTCTGGGGCCAATATGTCGAGGACATGTGTCTCGTTCACCTTGATCACAGAAAATGTCCTATCAAAAAAGTATTTGGGAATTTGGATCATTAATTGATGACCATAATATAGCCCGAGACAGGATATGATAATTTACTGCATCTCATCCTTATAGCTTTGGATTAGGGATACATTGACTTGAATGCTGCAACCTTATCAACTAATTATGACCCATTAATTATCATTTTGCTTTAGCATGTAAAGATTTGGTTTGATTTTTTCATCTCTCTCCCCTATTTTATCTCTCTCNTGAATGCTGCAACCTTATCAACTAATTATGACCCATTAATTATCATTTTGCTTTAGCATGTAAAGATTTGGTTTGATTTTTTCATCTCTCTCCCCTATTTTCTCTCTCTCTCATCCTCTCCCCTATTTTCCCTCACAATTACTCTCTCCTTATTTTTTTTCTCTCTCTTTATATCAACATTACAACAACATAATTACACTAATTAGTTACACCAATCAGTTATAATTTTCCTATAATATACTAAATAGTTACTCATGTGTTATAATAAATCAAACAGTTATACCAAATAATTACACAANTATCTCTCTCATCCTCTCCCCTATTTTCTCTCACAATTACTCTCTCCTTATTTTTTTTCTCTCTTTATATCAACATTACAACAACATAATTACACTAATTAGTTACACCAATCAGTTATAATTTTTCTATAATATACCAAATAGTTACTCATGTGTTATAATAAATCAAACAGTTATACCAAATAATTACACAAAATTATGACACTAACCCAATTTGTCATGATAAACCCAATTTGGTATATATAATTGGTGTAACTATGTCGTGATACTAAATGGTGTAACTTTTTGATTAATGTAAACAATTGAATGACAAATTGAGTTGGTGTTGTAATTTTGTGTAATTGTTTGGTATTACTGTTTGGTTTATTAGAATACATGAGTAATTATTTGGTGTATTATAGGATAACTATAACCAATTGGTGTAATTATGTTGTTGTAANTAATGTAAACAACTGAATGACAAATTGAGTTGGTGTTGTAATTTTGTGTAATTGTTTGGTATTACTGTTCGGTTTATTAGAATACATGAGTAATTATTTGGTGTATTATAGGATAACTATAACCAATTGGTGTAATTATGTTGTTGTAACATTGATATAAGAGAAGGGAGAGAGAATAAGGAGAGAAAGAGTAATGGTGAGTGAAAAAAATAGGGGGAGAGAGAACAAAAATAAGGAAGAGAAATAAAAAAAATTAAATCAAATATTTACATATTTGAAAAAAATTATCAATGTGATAGTGAGAGATAGAGAGATAAAATAGGGAAGAGAAAATGAGAGAGAAAAGAGAGAGTAATAGAGTACAAAGTGACCTTTTAGTCTTTTTTCAAAAAAATGCATTTAGAGTCAAATAAGTTTCCTTAATATAGTTTTGCTCAATTAAGTCCAATTNAAATGCAATTAGAGTCAAATAAGTTTCCTTAATATAGTTTTGCTCAATTAAGTCCAATTTTTGTACCGACTTCCAAATTCCCCTTAAGANATGCATTTAGAGTCAAATAAGTTTCCTTAATATAGTTTTGCTCAATTAAGTCCAATTTTTGTACCGACTTCCAAATTCCCCTTAAGAAAAATAGTATGA